CGTTGGTGGAAGCTAAAAATGGGATCTCACAATAAGCCCCTGAAGATTTTATAGAAGTGGTAAGCATGTCGCACCATTGCAATATCATTCTCCATATCACCTGGTTCCACAACATAAGTTACTGTCCTGGATTCTTTGTTGCGTTCTGCTGTCACCTCTATATGAGTTGGAAGTTTCCTCCTCCATTCGTATAGCCGCGCGGCTGTACTATTATATTTAAATATATTTTGTATAGCCGCGCGGCTATACGTTATTGCAATATATTTGAAGTGTATCGCCGCGCGGCTATACTATACGTATTGGAATATATTTACAGAGTATCGCCGCCCGGCTATACGAAAAAGTTTGGATAAGGGTCGTTCCCTATTCTAGTCTTCAGTTTTTCTGGACCCATAAGCTATTCGCTCGACCCTCTGTTTTGCCATCAAATTTGGAATTGAATAATGCAAAAAATTCCGTTAGTGGGTTTCAGATTTTCAGTTTCAGTTCAATCCAACGGGGAGGATAGGATATGAATGGGCTCTGCGCCTCTGCCACCTCCGGCTACGTTTTACATATGATTAAATATTCAGAGTTCCATGAACTTATCAACAAAGCTTTCATAGCTCAGTTGGGAAATTAGCGTATAGCCGTTCGGCTATACTATTTCTTTTGAAATTGGTATGCTTTTGATTTTGATTTTTTTGAACAAAAGCAATAGTCTAACTATATTATTGGTAAGCGATAGCCTCTTCAGTCCTATTATTGGTAAGCTTTGGATTTTAGGGACAAAAAAGATGTGCATATATGCACCTTTTATATTTACATTTTTTTCTCTCTCTTATGACATAATATCGATGTATTTGTTGTTATTTTATGCAATGTGGTCGTAATACTGATATTTGGGTTTTATCATCTTCATTCATTTATTATCTTAAAAAAAGATTATTTTTATTGTTTTAATACTGATATTTGGGTTTTATCATCTTCATTCATTTTGTTAGTACGAAATTTGTATTGTCATTTCCTAGACTTGTTTACTGGATGTTTTGGCACAACTCATTCAACCCCATACATCCGAGGCATGACTTGACCGATATGAGAAACTTGACTTCAGGTAAATCATGACATAATCATGCATTCATTATAGGATTCCTAGTTGGAGTTTTTTTTCACTCAAAGTATTTTTATCTTAATCTTATTTTTAATAGGATTAGATTTTATCTCTTGAGATTACTTTCCTAGTTGGACTCTATTTTGATTTAAGTTAAAATACTATTTTTCATCCTTGACTTGAAAAGGACATTTCATTGATACCTATTTGATCTCTTTGATAAAGATTGTTATCTTGAATAACAATCCTTGCATAAGTTGACGAATTATATAGTATTAGTGGTCTCAATGGTTTTTGACGTTATTCATTTTGTGCCCATATTGATTCACAACAAATAGTCATAGTTGAATAGCTTAATTGGGTGTTCATATTGCATCAGGTTAGAAGTCTTAGTTGAATGGGTCTTATAGTTGCATTGGAAGTGTAGTGACGTGGGGTTTCTCTCCAGGTAGAGAAACTGGCTTTGAATAAAAAGGATTGTTGTTCCTTTTCATCATTAGCTTTTTTCAACGCATGAGTTTTTGAATATATTGAATCTGTTTTTGTGAAAGCTGTAGTTCTTATTTTTCTTAGATAAATCATCAAGTGTTCCTTGTCTACTTTGTGATTTATCAAATCCTTTCATCATTCATATTGCATTCATATGCACGTCGGTGACTCATACGGTTGAGGGCACCAAGACCGTGGTGGCGGTTTTCCTCCGGTGAGCTTGAAGCAATCGTGGCCAGTATTGCGTTCAACATAAGGAGTGTCGAAGATCATCCCGTGACAGAAGTTGAGTTACGAAGAAGTCGGTAAACATTATCTAGAATGTGTCTAGGATAAGTGTGTGAGTACTTCTTGTAATCATCGTTCTATAGTGGATTTGTGTTGGACTGAGGAGTCCCGTGGATTTTCCCCAGAGGTGGGGTTTTACCACGTAAAATAATTCTCTGCGTGTTCTTTTATTTTCTGCCCAGCACGTTACAGGATTGATAAGCCATATCAATCCTGCTACCGAAGTTTATTTTTATTTATTTGATTAGAATCTTAAATTGGCCTATTCACCCTCCTCTAGGCATTGTGAGTCATCCTGCAGGTATTTTCAATTGGCATCAGAGCAGGTTGCTGGACATACTCAGCAAGATCTAACATTTAAGCAGATAAGAGGACTTAAAGAATCAAGTGTTGATTTAGACAGCATGATATCTGAAACCTTGCGAGAGAGCCTGTTTAAAAAAACTGTAGACGAGATATTCTCATCGGGCACTGGAGAGTTTGATGAGGAGGAAGTCTATGAGAAAATCCCGTTAGATCTCAATATTAATGCTGAGAAGGCTAAGAATGTTGTTCAAGAGCTTGCACGGAGCAGATTATCAAACTCACTTATTCAAGCTGTGTCACTTTTGAGGCAGAGGAATCGTCAAGGAGTGGTAATGGATTTTGTTTATCTGTTATTATTTTACTCCTGCAAGTGCTGAGTGCTAATTTTGGTTGGTGGATACTTTGGAAATGGGCTGGTAAGATTTGACTGATTTGCACGGAAAAATCTGATGCCTTGCTTCTGTTTGCAGGTTTCTTCTCTTAATGACTTGCTGGCTTGTGACAAAGCTGTACCGGCCAAGCCACTTTCATGGGACGTGCCAGAGGAGCTAGCCGATCTGTTTGCTATATACCTGAAAAGTGACCCAGCACCAGAGAAATTATCGCGCTTGCAGTATCTGCTGGACATTAATGATTCTACAGCAGCTTCTCTCCGGGAGATGGGAGATAGATTACAACCTATTGGCGCAGAGGAGGAAAACTTTGTATTCTGAGAAGGCGCAATGGGGAATAGGCCTCTGACTGATTGGCTAATTTTTGTTCATCATCTTGTTTCCATGATAGAGAGCAAATGAGAGAATTTATAATGTGATTATAGACAAGTTGTCAATCCAACATGAAATTATGAAAGTCTGGGTAGCTGCAAAATAAGATTTGTTGTATCTTTTTATTTTTGTTATACGAGGAAGTCATCTACTGAGTAAATGTTTTATGTATCAGGGAAGCTCACTTCTGTTTTGGAATTTAATAGTTACTCTGCACTGGCTTGACACAAAACATTGCATGCTAAGGCCATGTTTCATCCTTCAACCCTGATCGCGTCAGTTGCTGCAGAACTGTGGGATGTCCAGTCAATCAATCTCAGCAAATTAAGCTAATTAGCGTCTTCAATACTCGTACACAACCCTTTTGTCAATAATTCGTAGCAAAAATGCTGACCAACCAGACATGAAAATCTTGTAATTTTTACTGTCACCTGAGTTTTACTTGCTCTGGAAGTAATCTTCTGACATTGACAATCCTATCAACTTGGGGGTTTGACTTTGAGTCAGATTTAAGTTAGGTTAATGTGCACACCATCTTTCACTCGAGTTCGAATTCTCCTTGTAGATTACAGTAGTTATAATATCGCATTGTGAAAAAATAACTTGGCGGATTTTGAGGAAAATCATGGCCAAAGACAAAATGGGTACTAGAAGGTGGCAATTATATTAGATGTGGTATTAGGTCCACTGAGTCCATATTATCTCGTTTCCTTTCATGATTTCACTTTAGCTTATATGGAATTGTCAAACATGAAATAGCCATATTCAAAGGAAAAATGAAAGCTTTGAATTTAATCCTCCAGATACCCACTGAATTCGTATAACAAGTTTGGGGCATTTAGACTTTGCTTACCCTTCTGAAGCGCTTTATGGAATTTATGTTCTACAGATGTCGGAAGTTTCTAAAGTTTGGGGCAATTGCAAAAACATTTTTTTCCAATTTCAACCAGGTTCATGCAAAGGTGGTAGTAAAATTGTTAGTACGAAATTTGTATTGTCATTTCCTAGACTTGTTTACTGGATGTTTTGGCACAACTCATTCAACCCCATACATCCGAGGCATGACTTGACCGATATGAGAAACTTGACTTCAGGTAAATCATGACATAATCATGCATTCATTATAGGATTCCTAGTTGGAGTTTTTTTTCACTCAAAGTATTTTTATCTTAATCTTATTTTTAATAGGATTAGATTTTATCTCTTGAGATTACTTTCCTAGTTGGACTCTATTTTGATTTAAGTTAAAATACTATTTTTCATCCTTGACTTGAAAAGGACATTTCATTGATACCTATTTGATCTCTTTGATAAAGATTGTTATCTTGAATAACAATCCTTGCATAAGTTGACGAATTATATAGTATTAGTGGTCTCAATGGTTTTTGACGTTCTTCATTTTGTGCCTATATTGATTCACAACAAATAGTCATAGTTGAACAGCTTAATTGGGTGTTCATATTGCATCAGGTTAGAAGTCTTAGTTGAATGGGTCTTATAGTTGCATTGGAAGTGTAGTGACGTGGGGTTTCTCTCCAGGTAGAGAAACTGGCTTTGAATAAAAAGGATTGTTGTTCCTTTTCATCTTTGTGATTTATCAAATCCTTTCATCATTCATATTGCATTCATATGCACGTCGGTGACTCATACGGTTGAGGGCACCAAGACCGTGATGGCGGTTTTCCTCCGGTGAGCTTGAAGCAATCGTGGCCAGTATTGCGTTCAACATAAGGAGTGTCGAAGATCATCCCGTGACAGAAGGCATTTTGAGTCATCCTGCAGGTATTTTCACATTTATTATCTTAAAAAAAGATTATTTTTATTGTTTTCATTGTATTTAACAATGGATCTACAAATTGCACACAGGTGAATGTAAGTATTGTTTAAAGGTGGGCGACCACCATACAGAACTATGCTCTTACATTTATGAGGTCCCAGAGAACGCAATTGTTGGTGAGAGTTGTGTGGTTACATGTCTTATATGTGGCTGCTTCTTTAGAGACTCACATTGTGCTAATTGTGGCTTAACCCTAGGACGTGCACTCTTCAAGGGTTGTTTAATATGTGGGAAGAAAGGTGAACACATGGAATTTGAGTGCCCGAAATTTGAGCTGAATCCTAATGTTACTTTTGACCCTTATAGTCATTCTTTTATGGTCGATATTCGCCCTTAGAGTTGAAGCAAGGGAGAAAGAAGTGCTTTTTTATGTCGTTTGCCATAAAGAACATGCATCCTAATCTTTTGATGTCTACATCGTGCATTGTTTTTGTCACAAATGAATTGCAATTTGCATCACATGGTCTATTATATTTCTTATGCTTGAACTAGTTTTTATCTTATGATTTTGTTTATCTGTTATGGGGGTAGTATAGTTTATTTTAATTTAAAGACTCACTAAACAACTGGGCATGAATGACCACGGTTTGAATTGAATGATGACTTGGTAAAATAACAAAGGTAAAATGGAAAAGTTTAGTAATAAATGTTATAATGAGTTTTCACATCCGTAATTTATAACACTTTACAATAAGTTAAATGTCGAAGAGGCTAGTCTGGCTACCTTCCCCATATCATCCTATGAAGAATAAAGATCGAGTTGAAATACGTTCAAAGATATTAATAGTTGTAATAGAAGACGAGTCAAATAATAATAATATCGTACACATAGAAAAGGAAGGCGGAGCCAAGTGATGGCAGTGTCATGCATGCATATGATATCATATGAGGGCCAAGTGATGTTTCGACAACCTATGGAAGTACAGAGCTTAAAAAATTATGGAGCAGAGCAACTTCTCCAGCATGCCACAACCATATGACTACACAGTGCCAAGCATTAGCTTAAAAAATGCCAAGAAATAGGGGCGTTTGGTATCCTCTTCAAATAGAGAACTCAAAAATGTTGATTTTTCTTAAAAACAAGGAATTCTTAATAATTTGAGTGTTTTTTAGTTGTTCTTAAGTTTGAGTTTTTAAAAATAAGGCTACCAAACAGGTTTTCTTTGTTTTGGACTCAAATTCTGTTTTTGAGTTTAAAAAGTTGGATTTAAGTTAAATACCAAACGGACCCTTAACGTTTCAATTTCTTCAATCGAGGTTTCCAGGAATGCTTTTTTTGTTATGCAGTTTAATCATGTCATAATTGGTGACCTAGTTGTTATCATACGATATATAGCCAAAGCCAATTACTATGACTTATGGCTTGCATAAAGGATTTGCTGAATTCATTCATTCTCGTTAGCTAATAGCTATCATACGTCAATGAGATTGAAACGACGACATTTTGGACCAATACATCAATGATAAATTGTGAAAGTTCCCTCACTCAACTCTTTGTTGAAGGAAAAGGTAAACAACAAATGTCATATCCTACTATAATAGAAAAATGTTTTGCTCCTTATTAATTAGGGATATCTCTAAATCCGATGATCCCAATTCCTTAATTCATTAATTACTCAAATCAAATATTGATTAGAGTTTATCAAATCCAACATTTGTTTTTTATTTTAAAACGAAAAAAAAAACAAATAAATTATATTGTCGTATTGTTAGATTGGGAGACCACACATAAAGATACAAATGAATGCACGCAATGAATGGTTCATTTGGCTAGGAAACAAATTATTATTTTTTGATGACAATGTCTATCTCTTACCTCTCTCTCTAATTCTCAATCCCCAAAATTTGTAAGCCTGGAAGACACAATTCATGAAATTAGGCCCACTGTTGTAGGAGCCCTAATTCCATTTGACACTTTATCAGGGGAGCTTCTATAGTGAGTGGAAAGTTATAAGGGGTGTTTGTGAGCGGTATGTAAGGGCCGTTGGATTTCATCCAAGGATGAGTTTAAAAGAGGGTGCATGTAGAACCGGGTTGAAATCTGACC